GGCAATACAATCTCCATTTGTTTTTTTCACTGTGATTAATCGTTTTTAGACGTGCCTGGAATTTTCTGCTACTGCAACTCCCAAAGTCACAGCTCAATATTTATAGTGAAACTTGACTGAGGTTTTATTCCTTCTATTTTCCTAAAGTCATTATGAACTTCAATGTAAATTCAAATTAGATTAACGACTTTGGTACTATGGCTTCATCCTACCAAAGTGCAATAAAACAGATAAAGAAAAAAAAATTTATTAAGTAAAACAAAATAATGAAATCAAATCCCTTTGTGTGTCTTTTTCCCTGCCATTCCCCTACCTAACTGATGTGCAGCATCATAATTTTTAAAGGCTCAAATATATCAAAACAACTTGAGCTCCCTTATCATGTGTATCAGGGAAAAGTTACCATCCAAAAATCCAACTGTTGTGACAATATCAGGAGATCCCAAACACACACGAGGAGAATGAAAGCCCAGATTTTAGGATGTCTGATAAAAAGAATAAAGACCCAGCAAATGCTGCAGATTCCCAAGTGTTTCTTTACTGAGTCTTTAGCACTTTGTGCAGTATTTCATGGCCATGCTGGTAAATCCCAGTTCCCTGCTGCCCTGTGGGACTGGCTGCACTGGAAATGCCTGGCAGGAATCCTGGTGGGTGCAAATGCTGCTGAAGGCACCCAAAAACTCCCTGCACTCCTGAAGGTGCACTCCAGCCCAGGAGATACAGGAGCTCAGGGAACTGCAGAGATACCCAGAACAAGGGGAGGTGAGGATTGCCCAAATTAACCCAGGGGTTTGGTTCCATCTTTGGTGTCTGAGACTGATCACCAGCTGGGTTTGGGAAATCAGTTCTGTACTTGGCATGGCTCTGAAGTGGGGTTTGTGTCCTCACACCCCTGAGATAAAACCTGGGCAGTGACTGCCTGCCATCCTCTACAGGGCAGGGAGAAAAGGATGGCTGACCAGGATTGATAAAAGCCTTCAGAAGCCCAGCAGAGGAGGATTTGCACTTCATTCATTCTGAAGATGATTAAGCTGTGTAGATGAATATAGTATTTCAAATGACAAAGAGGCCAGTCTCCACAACTGAAAGGAACTGGAAATAGCTGATGGTTTTTAACATGCAAAATGCCTAACTTGGAAAATTTCATGAATACAATTACAATTTTTTTTGTTCCTCCCAGCTTGTTCTGGAGCTTGGCTGATAACAAATGTGACACTCGTGCAGGGTGAGGAGCATGTCACACTGACAAAGTCACACACTTTCTGAACAGAAACTATTCCATTGTAGGAGTCACCATGAGGGAGATATTTTCCATTTTTCTCTCAGCAAGGGTAGGCTCTGCAGGCTTAGAAGAAGTACTCAAAACAAATCCTTGGCTGGAGAAGTTGTGGACACCGAATTCATCCTTGTTTATTTGTCAGTAATTTCCTAATAGCTTGATGGTTCTGCTGCCACTCGTGCTACTATAGAAAAAGGACACCAGGCAGAGGCAACATTTCTGCTAAAAGGGTCTAAGTGACATCACTTTCTGAGATTCCAGGAGTCCTCCAAGTGCTGGGACCACAGCTGCTCGGAAGGACAAAGGGCTGAGTGTGAGAAAGAGCACACAAGGAAAACCCCCCTAACAATTCCAACTAAACACAATTCTTACCATCACCCTAAAGAGCATCTCTATCCACATGCTGCTCCCCAATTCCTGCTCACAAACATGGGAAAGAGGGAATTCCAGCAGGATTTCCTGCATTCCTGTACAGCAGGAATATCTGTTCACTGGTGATGGGCTTCAAAACACCCATCCATTTGTGTCAGCCCTCTGGGAGTTAAAAGCTCCACACCCCATCCACAGAGAGGACAAAATATTGTTTCCTGTAAACACAAACACTCACGTACTCTCCTCAAGAAGGAAAGCTCAAAATATTTTAAAAATTATAAGATTGGAACAAGAGCAGTTTGCTTTCAGAAACTCGAGAGTCACAGAGCATGTATGATTTAATAAGCACAAGTAAGAATTTATGCATTAAATCTATGGGGTTATGTCAGGTAATGCTGAGTATGGGAACATGGTTTTATTACTTAAAAAAAAACCAAACAAAAAACCCCAAATAAGTTGTTACATTGCATATATTATATTTATTATAAAAGGTGGTATTTATATATTTAACAAATAGCTCTCTTTAAAAAGAAATTACAATATATCACTACTTTTGTTGTCTGAAAGAACTCAGTCCATTCCAGCTGACTCAGCTGTAAAATCAGCAGGCCATAAAATTATATCAAGAACTACAGATGCTTAAACATTCTCTTAACCAAAATCTAACCAGGGAAAGGCTGTACCACAAAAGGAGCATTACCACATCAAACAACATGCCTGCATTGTAAATACAAAATGTTGAAATTTGCTGGAAAATTTCTTTTGGAACACAGTATAAACAATGTGCCCCCCAAGCCATAACTCAAGTCATCTTGGTTTTCATGAACAATTTTGGTGATTGTTCTACATCCCCACTGGAAGCCACTGGGAATGAATGCTTGCTACTGCAGAGAATTCAATAAATTCAGTAAATTCACTGTGTCCTTACAGAGTTACAGAACTTGGAACCTCTGCCCTCGGCTCCTTCTCCAGATTTTAGGATCTTCGTTGTGTTTTTTTCTGGTTCATATGAGATCACTGTAGATGTTTATTTAGAAGGCCAGAACATAATTAATTTCCTTTTTAACTTCAAGAGTCCAGCAGCTGCTTTGAAACATAACCCAGTCCTACCCCCAAATCCAATGTGGAAATTACCAACAACTTCCACCTGCACCCAGGGCTCTGCAGCTCAGTTTGGTGGAGCGGAAATTTCACTTTCCCTATGGAACTGAGAGAACGGGAAACTCTGACTAAGGCCACTTCAGGGGATTTCTCGAGGTTTTAGTGCTGTTTTCTAGGTACTACTAGAGTAGTGCCAGGTAAGAGACTCCTACAGAGTGTTCCCAGCACTCTCAAATACAGCCAGATACAAACTGGAATTGACTCAAACCCATTTTGTTTTTCCTGATCTTTGCATGAAGCAGGTGTTAACCCCAATGGAGTCTGGGGATTAATCAAAGAAAACCAAATATTTTAACACTCAAACCACTACTTAGAGCTTTCAAAACGTGAGAGCTCATCACAGATCCCTCACATAAGCCTAACAACATAATGAGACAATTTGTGAGTTTTGTGTGAGGAATTTTTTATTTTAAAAGCAGTCAAAGGCTCGTGATGACAAACAGCAACAGTAATAGCTAATAGGAAGATGTTTGCAATGACCTCTAGCAAGAATAATGAAATACCTGATTTATAATTATCTTCACAGAAGTAGCACCTTTAGTTTTCCATTAAAATAATGGGGTACAATGAATTATTAATATTAAAGACTGACATCTCTAGCAATGCTTCCTCCTAACTACCCTAAGTGTTTTTCTCAGCCCTGAAAATATAATTAGCATGAAAGCATACACACAGTGATGCCTCATTATCTCTTTAACACCTGTTCTGTCCTGGCTGACCAGTCCAAGGATGCAGTGTCCTGCTTAATTCAGAGCTGCAGGAACAGAAAACCTTTGGTCCAGCCTGGCTAAGGACACAAACCTCTGCTCTTGGCTGGAAGGTAACTATGGATCACCAAAAATATATATCCAGGCCTGGAAAGGAATAATCATGGAGCCACCCAAAAATAAATGGATTTCAGAAGCAACTCAAGCCAAGCTGGCCTGGTTGGCTGTGCTGGCTCAGAGATTGTCAGGTTGCTCTCCTCCTGCACAACTACCTACAGGACAATTTAACTCCCACTCTTTGCCATAAAACAGTTTTGTTTCACAATTTTATAACCTGAAACGATGAGGATGGAATTTAGCTGATCTTTGGTACAAAGAACAGAATGATGAAATGTGCTCTATCAAAGTATTTAATTAGTAAAGCTTATTTTTATTAGCATCTTGATTTTCCATGTAACCTAAAGGAGAGTAGCTGTTAAAGAGCACTTTGCTTTGTAGATAACCCAGACAGCAGTTAAAACAAGAAATTCCAGACTCCTGAGATATATTTACCTTGATACACAGAAGCAGTGTGATGTAATAGTCACACACCTCCGTGTGCAGATGGCAGACACGTGGCTGGATGTTATCAGCCCCAGAGCCATCTCTCAGCAGCACAGGACCTCGAGGGGTGAAAAACCAGAGCCCTGAGCCTCGGCCTGTGCAAACAAACCACACCCAGCTCAAACCTGAACATGAAAACCCAGCGGGGCAAGGCAGCCGCACTTCCTGGAAGCCTGAGCGGCAGCTGCACCTGCTTATTTCTGTAAAAGGAGTAAAAACACAGACTCGGCAAAACACAACACAAAAATGTCACCTCAGCGAGGATGGGGATGAACACTGCCAAGGGCAGACTGTCCGCCCAGGCAGCGATCAATGGCTCATCAGCACCCCAGAACCACTGCCCATCATCATCATCATCAGCACTCCAGAACCACTGCCCATCATCATCATCATCATCATCATCCCAGAACCACTGCCCATCATCATCATCAGCAGCACCCCAAAACCACTGCTCATCATCAGCACCCCAGAACCACTGCTGATAATCAGCACCCCAGAACTGGAGCAGTGACCCAGCCCCACTCAGTGACCGATCCCTGCCCAGTGATCGATCCCTGCCCGGAGCTGTCACAGCCCGGCCGCGGGCGGTGCCGGCTTGGGGCAGCTTCGGGCAGGGGCGGTCCCGGAGCGGGGCGGTCCCGGTAGGGGCGGTCCCGGAGCGGTGCCGGGCAGGGGCGGTCCCGGAGCGGGGCGGTCCCGGCAGGGGCGGTCCCGGAGCGGTCCCGGAGCGGTGCCGGGCGGAGCGGGCCGGGCAGGGGCGGTCCCGGAGCGGCGCGGTCCCGGTAGGGGCGGTCCCGGGGCGGTGCCGGCGGTGCCGGCTGCGCAGAGCCGAGCCGAGCCGAGCCGAGCCGGCTGCCCTCGGCCTCAGCCTCCCCGCCATGCCCGGAGCGGCCGCGCTGGGCGCCGGCCCCGACCCTGAGGAGAGCTACGACTTCCTCTTCAAGCTGGTGCTGATCGGCGACGCCAGCGTGGGCAAAACCTGCCTGGTGCAGCGCTTCAAGACCGGGGCCTTCTCCGAGCGCCAGGGCAGCACCATCGGCGTGGACTTCACCATGAAGAGCCTGGAGATCCAGGGCAAGCGGGTGAAGGTGAGAGAACGGGCCGGGCAGGAGCGGCTGCGAGCCCAGACCGGGCCGGTTCCGCCCAGAGCCCCGGTGCCGAGCCCCGGTGCCGAGCCCCTCAGCCTGCCTTGCCCCCTCTTTCCCCCGGCTCCCTTCTGGCCCCGGGCTGTTTACAAGGCAGAGGAAAGCTCAGCTGGGCTCTCGTGTTTCCAGAAAGGGATGTGCAACTGGCAGATTGAGAGAAGGTTCTTAAATTAGGCGTGTTTTTATCTTCAGACACTGCTTACAGGGTGTCACAGGAAGTGCCGTTTTTACGGTTCTTCTTCATAGGACCAATAAATTCTAAATTTGACATCTGCTCTTTTTTTTTTTTTTTTTTATGCTGGAGGAAATCAGCTGGTTGTTAAGGTTAGAAAGAGCCTAGACATGCAGGATCTATGCTCAGATTCTCGGTGGCACAGATTCCCTAAAACTGCGCTCACCCTCTGAGCACGGCAGTGCAAGTAAAGAAAATGTTTAGAGCATTAAATGCGGAGAAAATGTTTAAAGCATCTAAGGTTTATAGCAGATGCTTTAAACTCGGATCAATCCCTTCACCAGCCCCTCCAGAATGGGGTCGTGCAAATATCCTTACCCCTAGTTAGACTGAAAATCATTTAATTCAGTCACTTCCTAGAAAAAGATGGGGGGAAATGTAAAGTTTTTGGTGACACATAAATACAGTGATGCGGTCAGGTTTGGCCTGTGTTTACCAAAGTAGGTGTCAAAGTCCTCTGTCATTTTTTTTTTCTTATAAATTAACTTCGGTGAGCAGAATATTGAAAGTTGCAGGAAGCAGAAGAAATGAAGGCTCGCATTTTTTAGGAAAAGAGAGGGATTAGCAGTTCCACACCCAGCAGCAGTGTTTATTTTCTTGTTGGTATCACACCTTTGCCTGTCAGTCTGGCTGGGGCTGAGGAGCTGAAAAGCAAACTCAGGTTTTCTGTTGGAGCTGGCAAGTGAGGAGTGGGGTTCTGCTTTAGGAGAGCCTCATTTTAAATACCAGGCTCATAGAAAGGGACAAATGTGTCTGTTCCTGGTGCCAGGAACTTCAGGAGTGCCCCAGGAAATCAGCCAAACTTCCTAGGTGTGCTTTTTCAAATTGTCACCACTTACACCTGAATGTCCCTGCCTGTCTGTAACTAAACCTGTGTGTTATTTCTAAGTATTTTATGAAAAACAAGTAAGAAAGTGCAAGGTCTCGAAGCTTCCTTTTTCTTTGGGTTGTTCTGTATTTCCACTTAGAAAAAAAAATGAGGAATGCACATATTGAAGAATTTTAAGTATTACTTTAGGGAAATTAATCCAACACTCTTGCTGATTTACCTTACAGATTCTTTTGTCAGCTGCTGAGTCAGGGACACAGCCAGAATATGAAAGCATTTACTTGGAGGGGTTTCTTTTGTTTGGTCTGTTAAGGTGTGGGGGGAGTGTGAAGTTTAAATCAGACTTTTCCAGTTGGATTGAGATTTCAGAGCAGCCCATATAACCTGGATTAGGTTTGCTCAGTGTGCTTTTGGAAACAGGAAATAAGGAAGCATTTTCTGACACTTTTTTGAGCTCCCTTACACGCACTACTTGCACTTCTTGCCTTAAAAAGCAGGCCAGGTAATTAATTGTCTGCTACTTTGATTTTGTTAGGGGTTTATACTACTCAATACAGTATTGTTTTCTATTTAGCAAATTGTGCAGGAATGAGAAAATTCCTGGTTTTATAATGTCTTAGAGGCTCATATTTAGAAGTTCCCTCAAAACAAATTGTCTACAAAAACTTTTTCCACCTCCCCAGTGGCCTAAACTTCATTTTTAGTCTGGCTAAGAGTAGTGTTGCAACCCAACAACACTTATTTTGAGATTGAAACAAACAATTTAAGGTTAAACGTGCCCCTTTCTGTTTCAAACTTCAAATGTTCCATCACAGTTACATAATGTTTCTGAAACATTTGGAACCCAAGGATTTTAGATCTCATTTTCTTTTGATGTGTTTTGTTTGTTGGTTTGGTTTTTTTTGATAAGGGAAAAGATGCCTGTTGGAATACTGATGGTTAAGGTGCTCCAAATAACTTTTTCTAAATTATTTATGAAACTTGAGGCTTTCCTTGCACCTTGAAGCTGTATTCTTTCAAGTGTCTCACGTGGTGCTCCATCCTCTGCTGCTGAAGCTGACTAAACTTCATATGGAAAGAGATCAGCTTTATGAAATGTCTGCAGGCTGTCTTCATTTAAAGAAATGTTCTAGTACATGCTGGTTGAAATTGTGGCATGCTGCTTTCTCTAAAAGCCATCCTTCCTAGCTGGCTGAATTCTACAGTACAGACTGTAGAGTCCAAAAGTTGTCTTGTCAATCACTCAGAAGGGTTTAAAAGTGGTGTTAGTCACTTAATGCATAGTGATCAAAGTCCTATTGATAAAATAATTACTTGTTCTTTGAGTGATAGAAAAAATCTGGCAAACAGAACAAAAATGTTTTATAACTGTTATGTCACTGTAAGAAAAGATATTTATAAAATGCTGGAACCAAGACTTTACATAATGATAGGCAAGGACATTTCTAAGTCCAAGTCCATAAATCATGGTTAGTAATAACAAAAGTCTTTTTCTTTTGATGAATTGCCTCCTGTAAGCTGATTAATTGTCTTTAATTTCTACATTATGCTGTCATTTCATAGTGTTTTGCATAAAGTATTTTTTCCTCTATGCCGTAATTTTTCTCTCTCAATATGACTTTCAGAAAGTAGCAGGAGAGAACAGTTGAAAACACATTCCTTTTACAACAAATACTTCTTTATGTACCATTGCACTTCTTCATTTACAAGCTTTTTCAGCCCATATGTTATCAAGATTACTGGCTTTGATTCAGGCCTCGTGGCTGTGAGCTGTGTTCCTTTCAGAATGGCCCAAAATGTATTTTGTGTCATGACCTGGCCAAATTTCCAGTAATACAAAGCTGTGACTTGTTAACTGTCTTGTCTCCTGACTGGGGATTTAATAACTTTGCTGCACAGATTAAAGCAGAGCTACTGGCAGCAATATTCTTTGATATCCAGAGGAAAATGTTGCTCTCTGTTAACTCACTTTGACACTCGTAACATGGAGCAAATGGGAATACTGCATTCCCAGAAAAGAGGGATTCCTCATTCTCTGAAAATCGTGTAGGGAAACATTTGAATGGAACAGTTTATCCTGATTGTCCTGTCTGTGAATATCACTTTAAATTGAAATACACTGCCACAGAGATGTTGCTTTTGGCAAAAACTGCATGGATTAAGTTACAAGGCAGTTTCAATAAATGTTTTTAGGAGCAAGTGGTGTGATTTGCCAGCCTACAGGAATGTATATTATTGTCTGCCATTTGAGATGACAGGATTCAGACACAGTTTTAGCACAGTCTTTAGGTCCAGTATTTCACTGCTGGGAAATTTTATGGAATATTGCTGCAAAAGTGACATTTCTGTTTTTGTAAAGGAAGGTATCAGCTGGAAGATGTACTTAGTCATTATTTATGCTGCTCCACAAGCAAAAGTACACCTGAACTCCTGTGATACTTTAGAAGAATCAGGAAAGTACTTAATAAATTATGTAAGAAGTAAGGGAGGGAGAAATTATTTAATGTGTCTTGGGGCCATCTGTTAAGAATTAACCTTTGAGCAAGAAGCAGCCACATTGGCCCTTTTGATAATGATAACTTACTGTGCTCTTTGGCCAACCTGTCACTCACCATCTTCAACATTTTATCTATTTCTGTAGTTCAAAATCTGCTTTCTGTGAGCCTGAGCAGACATCCCAGAATGATCTTCTAGAGAACCTCCATTAATTTTATCAACTTCTGTTTTCCTCCTTACATCCAATTGAAACAGTCCTTGTTACAGATTTTTCCTGGTGTCTCTCACTGTTCTTTATGTTCCACCATGAAGAGGATGGCTGTCCAAAAAGCTCCAAGCTAAGAGCAGATCAAAATAATCAACTTCAGTGAATAAATGAGTATTCAGTGGTGAAACAAAGGGCACAAGAAAGGTGGCTCCTTTATTCTGCCATATTCCTTCTGAACAATGACTATTTATTCCCTGGTCTTTACCCTGTTCTCTTTTGTTCCTAGCAGTGGTCCCCCTGAAGGCCTGCCACCAATCTCTGATTCCAGAGGTGTTTTTAATTAGTAGTTCCAAATGAATTCAGCACAGTTCTCCAGCAATCCCAACTTCTCTCTGCCTTTCCTGCACCAAAGGAGTTTCCTGAGTAATTACAAAATCAGGAGCTGCTTTAAAAGGTTTCTGAGTGACAGACATGGCTACCATCATGTTATTTACAAAGCCTGAAGCACTTTAAATCAAGGAAATAAATAATTAAGAACTTTGTGTCATTTACAACATATGTCACACACTTGTAAAATACAAAAGAATACATGAGTATGTTTTCTTTAGTAACCTGTGGCTAGTACAGCTCTTTTTTATTTAACTTTTCACTTAAACTGAGGGACTTTTGAATGAGAAATACTAAGGCTACATTTTTTGTCCAAAGTTTTCAACTGTTATTTACATGAGTTACATGCTTGTAAATACAGCTTAGCAGAAATACTATATAAAACTTTTACTTTGCATGAGCTGGTTAAAGTTGTAGTTGTGATTGGTATTTCTGTATAGTTGTCATGGTTCTTTTTCAGTAGAATTCGGTGAAATTTGTCTCTGTAGATATGCTGGAGAAAACGGTGTTTATTTAGGATCAGAACTGGTATTTTTGTAATTACTTAAATTATATTTTTAACCATGTATCAGTCTGATTAATGTTACATGGAAATATTTATCTTAGAATTTTCTAAAGATGCTGTCGAGCAAACTAGCTGTATTTTTCCTTTATACAGCTTGCTTTACATTAAGTAATCTGCTTCATAAAACTTCCTTGCTGTGTCTGTAGTGTGTATTCTTAATGATAGAAGACATTATTTAAATTGCAAACAATGTGACAAGGTTTTCAAGCTTCCAAACTATGGGGGGAGTTGTTCTTACCTCAGTCACTCTGCACTTTTATTTACACCACATGAAAAGTGTGAGTGAAAACAATTTTATTTTTTAATTCAAATGTTTCCAATTTGTCTGTATGCACAGAATCCCTCAGGCCCTTCCCAAGAGTTGAGTGATCATCATTAACCTTTTCTAGCACTTGACCTAATCAAGTATTGAAATTTATCAAACACAAAGGTCTGGTGGGAGATTTGAGTACAGAGATCATCCATAAACCTGGCCCCAATTTCCTTGTCCTTGGTAATTGCTGCTGACTGCTCTGCACTGTTATCTGTTTATTAATAATCATTGCTCTGTGGTTTTCTGAGTCCATTACAGAGCAGTCCCTGCTCTGAGAACACTCTTACCAGAACTGAGAAGTCCTTTTTCCTTGGCTTGATTCCTTTTGGGCTGTACATATATCAGCTGGGATCTGAATGCTTGCTTAGCACAGGAAATGAGATCTTATCAGCACTGCCTTCTCCAAAGTGAAATTTGCTGCTCAAAAATGCAGCAGAGTCAGAAGATACAAAGAAAACACCAATGTGCAGAAGAGATAAAAGGAAAAATGATTCCATATTATTTGGTATAAAATAGCACTGGCACATTGTGTTAAGTTTTTGACGACACTTTCAAATAAGGAGGTTCAGAGAGAGAGGGGAAACCATGAATAAAAGATCCATGCTGTGGGAGGATTAAAAGCCCCAGTAGTATTTGCTTATGTCCTGTTTCAGTGGAGATGCAGAATATAAGGAATGGCACAAAAAGACAAGCAGTGCTCTCTCTGTTATCATTTGGGGATAGAGCATGAAAATGCAACAGAATATAAATTTATAAAAGGAAATTCTTTAGTTTCAATGTGACTATGTAATGAAGCCAAGAGCTTTGGAAGACTCAGAAAGAATTAGAGATTTATATGGAGGATGAAAACATCCACAGTTACTTTGGATTAAACGATCCTGGAATATAAGCCATCATGTTCCAGGACATTAGACAACCTATAAAACAACAGGATTTACAAAGAAATTCCCTAGGAGCAGGTGTCCACTCTGAATTATTTGGTTTCCTCCTCTGGAACATCTAGTACTGGGAACTCAAACTCTGGTTCCAAACCCATAATTCTCATGCTGCTGGATTTAGGCAGAAGTATATAAAGCAAGCATTTCTTCTTCCTGCCCAGATGTGATGTCTGTTTTAGCACCCAGGAAAGGACAGGTGATAGACTGACCAGATCCTTGACTGGCTTTAGTGACACCTAGGATTGCTGGCATACACTCTTTTGTCTGTATTCTTGTCATTGTCTCCTGTTTCCTTCTAAAGCACATCAGTGCTCTCAGATGATGTGCCCACATCCTGCTCCCTTTGTTCCTGCCCTGTGGCAGAACTGGCAGAAACACAGGCAGTGTGGTGGCCAAAACCCACCTGTAGTTCCAGTGACACACCAGATGAGCTTGGCTGCAGGCTGGCACCTTGTTCTGCTGCAAAGGGTGACAAAGGGTAGGGCTGGGCACACAAGAGAATTCCAAAATCTGCCACAGAAGGAGCTCACTGGCAGGAAAAACCAGGGTCCCAACTGATGCAGGTACAAACTTTGAGCAGCCAAGTTCTCAGCATAGATTACTTATATATAATTATTTTATATCTGTTTATATCAAGGTTCTCAAGCACATATTCTCATCCTTAGATCATGAACAAAAGGCTAGATAAGCACAGGGCTAGAATGTATTGGATATACAGGAGTTTTGGATCAAGGCTCCTGGATCAACTCTTCTTTCTTGATGCCTTAAGGGGAGAAATGATACCTTAAGTGTTAGCTTTTTTATTTTCTAGATTCTGTACTGCATTAGTGGATAACTATGAACTTCATATAAAGTGTCAGCGAATTCTCCTCACAGTTCAGTCAGACAAAAGTCCTTTTCCAGCCCCAGAACCAAGGACACTGCTGCAGCTTCAGCCCCAAAAAGTGCAAACAGCAGCGAATTGAGGAGAGAATCTGGGAGGGTGGGACTGCAGAACCTGGAGCTGGGATTGGACAATGAACCCCAAGATGGAAATGGACCAAAATTTAGAAAAGTGTGAAAACTCCTGACTCTGAGTCCATCTTGGGTCCATCCTGGATGTGTAGCCATGGCCAGGTTCTTGCACTGCCCAAGGTGTATCCCTTGAAGGGCTTTTAATAAATCCCTGCTTTATTCCTTTAATTCTGTCCAGCCTACTCCAGGGAGCCTCTCCAGGCATCGCTCCTGGTTGAGGAGAGCAGCTACTGTGTGTCCCTGTGTGCTTGTGTCACCGTGTCCTGTCTCTCATGCTGTGCTGTGTCACTGGTGTCAGTGTGTGCTGTGTGTCACCTGTGTCAGTGTGTGCTGTGTCACTGTGTCCTGTCTCTCACCCTTTTCTGTGTCACTGGTGTCAGTGTGTGCTGTGTGTCACTGTGTCCGTGCTGTGTCACTGGTGTCAATGTGTGCTGTGTGTCACTGTGTCCTGTCTCTCACCCTGTGCTGTGTCACTGGTGTCAGTGTGTGCTGTGTGTCACCTGTGTCAGTGTGTGCTGTGTCACTGTGTGTCACCGTGTCCTGTCTCTCACTGTCTGCTGTGTCACGGGTGTCACTGTGTGTCACTGGTGTCGCTGTGTGCTGTGTATCACTGTGTGTCACATCTCTCACGCTGTGCTGGGTGTCNCTGTGTGTCACTGGTGTCGCTGTGTGCTGTGTATCACTGTGTGTCACATCTCTCACGCTGTGCTGGGTGTCACTGTGTGTCACTGGTGTCGCTGTGTGTCACATCTCTCACGCTGTGCTGGGTGTCGCTGGTGTCACAGTGTCACATGTCTCACGCTGTGCTGTCCCCCCAGCTGCAGATCTGGGACACAGCTGGCCAGGAGAGGTTCAGGACCATCACCCAGAGTTATTACCGCAGCGCCAACGGGGCCATCCTGGCCTACGACATCAGCAAGAGAGGCTCCTTCCAGTCCATCCCTCGCTGGATCGAGGATGTCAGGAAGTATGCTGGCTCCAACATCGTGCAGTTACTCATTGGTGAGTTGGAAATGTCACTGCTGGCTTAATATGGCCACAGGTTTTAGTTTTGGTTGAAGTTAAGGTGTGTGCAACAGACCCAATTGGAAATTTTACCAAAAGAGCTGATTCACTGAAGCAGAGATGTTCTGCCTTGATTGACTTCTGTTAAGAAGTAGACAACTTTGAGTTCTTTGCATCTCGTTTAATGGAGAAGTGGGATGCCCAGGATTGCCCAGTTTCGAAGCACAGTTGCTGTGGAGTCCTTTCTTCCCTTTTCCTCTCCTCTCCCCTCCCTTCCCCTCCCCTCCTCCCCTCTCTCATTTTTCATTTCATCATAAAGATCTTTAGGTTTCCAGGGCCCAGGGAAGCTCCATCATAGTAAGCTGATATGTTTTTGTTGGAACACACATCCACTTCAGCAGACAGGATGTTTTGGAAGGACTTTGGGGCAATCAGAGTTTGTCAGTTCTTTGCTGGAAGTTCTGCTTTCCAGCCCAAGTATTTTGGACTCAGATGTGGCTCTTGTAGAGCTGCTAATACAACAGCAGTGCCATTCTAGATTTCCCTAGGAATCAGCAGACAGCTGCTGTTTTCACAGAATGGTTTTAACTTCAATTTCTAGCCTATTCTCTTCGGTTAGAGTCTGCAGCCACTCGTCAGTTCCTTTTCCTGTTCTTTATGGGTAATACAGAAACACAGGTTGGAAAGGGCTGGGGAGATGATCCAGTCCAAGCTCCTGCTCAGAGCAAGGCCAGACTCAGGTTGGTCAGGGTCCTTTCAGTCACATTTTGAAAACCTACAGAATGGAAATTCTTCAGCTTCCTTGGACAACCCAGAACCTCCTGCCTAACGCTTCCTGTGACACAAACAGCCATTAAAAATCCCTCTGTTGTTTCCTTTCCTTGCAGGAAACAAGTCTGACCTAAGTGGCCTTAGAGAGGTTCAGCTGGCAGAAGCTCAGAGCCTGGCTGAACGCTATGACAACATCATCTGTGCCATTGAGACCTCTGCAAAGGACTCCAGCAACGTGGAGGAGGCGTTTGTGAAGATGGCCACGGAGCTGATGATGAGGCATGGAGGGCCCATGATCCGTGAGAAGAACACTGACAGCATCAAGCTGGACAGCAAAGACGTTGGGGAAGGCTGGGGGTGTGGTTGCTGATAAGAGCTAGCTGATATCCCTAACTTTACTGGAATTTAGATGGTGCTTCACCCTAATGCTGAGTAGCATGGTAGCCATATTCTCCTCCTCCTCCTGTGAAACCAGCAGTTTTGTAGAAGTTAGACACAATCCTGTTTGCTTCGGTGTCTTATTTTTAGAAAGGGACTTTGGAGAGGTGGTCCTAAAAGTCAAACCCTCTGAAAAACTTGCTCAACGTTTGTCCCCACCATTTTATTTTCTGTAACCTTCATACGAGTTACAAAAATGGAGGAAACGACTTTGAACTTGGTATTTTGGGGAGGGAAGACATCTGTTTGGGGAAGAGACTGATGCAAACCCAAGGGTCTGAGCATTAACATGGGGCTGGTGGCAAAGGAGGTCACTTTTGGAATAGGCAATCTTGACAGTGTCTCTTCAAGTCCTTAGCACTCCACCAGTGACCAGAAAGTGTCAGTGTCTTTGATAATGGTATTTCAAGGGCCATAATAGCCCAAGTTTGATTACAGGACCAAATAGCAGTCACCTGGCCTAGGACATGTGAATTGCTAGGTGCTGTTGGAGCAGGCCCAGGTGGGGGAGCTTCTCTCAGGTTTTGTTATCATTTGAAGTTAGTGTTTTAACAGAAAGCAAAACCAGCCTGAGCACTATCAGGAGCAGGATTGGACCAGGGTGGTGATTTAAAACAGCCTTGAGGAGAGGGAAGATGCATTTCATTTGTTGTTTGCTCAGTGATAGCTCCTTTTTCCCAGTGGAAGCATCACTAGGATTTTACCCTCAGGTCTCCATCATTTCATTCCACAACTCAAGACCTGCACCACTGGAAACAGGAACTGAGAAACCTTGAAGTGACTGTAGCCAAGACCTCAAGATCTCTTGCCATGTGCCTAACGGTCAAACACAGGGTTCATTCTGGTCACACTTTTGATGGTTTGTTACCAGAGTGCATAAGTGGATTTGAGTTTTTTATTGGTTTTGTTTTTTAAACCTTCTCTTTAAATACCACATGGGCATATAATGGGAAAGAAGAGCTCAGAATAGCTGAGAACTGGATGATTGCAACTTCTTGGTTGTGAGAAACCAGTGGCTTTTTGAGTGGTTCCCTCCCAGCTTTGTACCCAAATGTTCCCCTCTCCCTATCACGAGTTACCAGTTGCTTTTCATTTCTTGAAAACACTCAGCAGGAAAAATCTCTCATAGTGGATCAAAAGTCTACATAAAGTAAAATAGATTTCATAATCCAGTTCTTTCAGATGCAGCTCTGTAGATTATCTTGTAGATGTGGCTGAGGTCCTGATGGATTCCTCTGCATTTACACTCTCAGGCACCTTACAAAAGTGGATTTGCAAAGAGAGCAGGAGCAGCAATATTTTAAACTCTGCAGATAAAGCAAAGATGTTCAGGGATGGCAAGTGATTTCTGTGATCCTGGTAATATGAAGGAGCTTGCTTTTCAAAAAGCTCTAATTTGAAGTCACTTGACTCTGAAAAATCCAGAACAAAAAGGACTTGAATTGTTTTGCTACTAGGCCTGCACCACTTTAGTCATCCAACATATCCAGTGTCATGAAAATTAGGAACATTTAGGAAAGGGCTAATGGATACCAATTTTAGTACTATTCATCTTCCTGTAGCAAATATTAAACCATTCTCTGCTCTTTCTGGTTTTTTAAGCTGTGAGGTAGATAACTGAGCAGTAATGTGTAGCCTGTTTGCTTCTATCTAAGGGGTTAGTTTTCAAATTTTATAGTTGTGAGAATGAAAAGGCCTTAAATTTTTCAACTAGTATAGTTTTCATAATTCTGGTATTTTCTACAGAAGGGCAGGCTGAGCTGCAGCTCTTGGTAGTGTTTTTGGGTAGTTTTCCAGGATATTCCTACTTCCAAAGACAGTAGGCAATAAATGTCCAGCTAGACATTTGGGGATTTGAAATTGGGAATGAGAATGAAAATGGGAATTTTCCAAATCCTAGAGTTGTTGGTGTGTTCCCTGTGTTCTGCTCTCAGGAGAAACTCTGAAGACAGTCCAAGCTAAAGCTCAGTGCTGGTGACTGCTTCTCCTCCTGGTGAGATCCTTAAGGTTCAGAATATTTGCAAACATTTGACTTTGTGTCATGACCCACTGCAGTTTTTATCTGTAGGTCATGGTCCTGCAGTTCTGCTTGAACAGGGACCCCCAGATGAGCTCAGCCCCCCACTGCCTGCAGGATTAGTGCCAAATTATTTAATGCTGACAAAAATCCACATTCATTTAAGGACAGTATTGCTACTCCTCAGACTGAAACCCATCGTTTACATAGTAACTCGTCTTAAAACTGGAACAAGAAGGAAAGTGAATATAAATCCTGCTTCCAGTGCAGCCAGTGAGTGACTGTGTTTTTATAATAGATGAAGAATGGAGGAATTAGTGATTCATTTACTTCATTTTGAGGTTTGTTTAGTGAATAAGTAGAATTAGACCAGGCACTACACTTTTAATTACAATTTGCCTGGATTTATCTCTTAAACTAGGCTTGAAGGATGGGACTCTGTCTGCAGGTCAGTCTGTTCAGTCACAAAATGTGCAATACAGCAGCAGTGATTTGTTTGCTGTACTTTAAATGAAGGCACCTATTCCAATTAGTTTTTCAGTTTCCTGCAGAAAACTAAAACCATGGCTTTAAATCTTCTTTTGTCTTTTAGCTCTTGGCTCTTCTGTGTTGTAATAAGAGTACAAGTTTGCATGCCCTCCTAACTTAACAAAAGAAATAGAAGACCTGGTTTATTTTTAATGTGTTTTTTTTTCAGAAGAAACCTGAAGATTTGGTTATTTTTAAGGTTAGCAGCTGGTAGTGCTTGGGCTGTCAGTAGTTAAAGTTTATTTTGATTATCAAACCCTTCTTTTTTTCACTGCCCTGCTGAAGACTATCAAACCTGGGACTCACACAGAGCTGTGAAATTCAGGCATTAAAAAGATTGTTGGTTTAACTCCATTAATCCTATTGAAACCAAAAGGATAGCTGGGTGAAGAGAGTGAGGAGCAATAAACCTGTGATTTACTGGTAAAAACCCGGGTTTCAGCTCTCAGGGTACAAATGGGCAGTGATGTACATCAAGTGAATAATGCAGCAGTGCTTGTTCAGAGTTCACAGCAGAAACATTTGCCAAGAAATCTGTTTACTGCCAGTTGAACATTAACAAGACTATGGTGCAGTAATTGCTTTTAAGCAGATCCCCTTGGCTGCTCATGTATTTGCATTAGTATTTATCATTTCTTTTTGGCAGTACCAAAGTGTGCAAAAATATTACAAAAGCACAGGAGGGGACATTGATCTCTGCCTTGTAGCACTTGGGAGTGGAATGCAGAGGCAAATACTGAAATGAAATCATCAGCAGAATGTGGTTCCCAGGAGCCTTTGTTACCCTTTATATTGATTCTAAGCTAATTTTATCTCCAGTTTCTCATCCAGTCCATCACAGATGGAACTTGTACAAATATTTATAATTATGTAAATATAAAACCAAATAAATGTCGGTCCAGAAACCTGCTAACGTTTGCTTTGCAAAACAAAATTTGAGAAAAATGAGAATACTTAAGAACAGAGGAGAAGTCCTGATGATTTTCTTACTCTCAGTGTACTGGAAAAAGGTTTTTTTCAGGGGGAAAAACCTAAATGAAGCCCAGCTAAAACCACTAACAGCTTTCCTATTAACTAATACTGGTAGATTTCCAAGGACTTCACCAAAAGTGGAGCTCTTGCTCGTTTTGGGTGCCTGGACAATCCTATGTGAAAACAAGGGTTGGGAAGATTGTCCTTTGGACACAGCATGCAAACTTGTATTGGAAACTTGAAGGCATTTTTTAAAAGTGAGCCAAGAGCTGAATTTACACAGACATGAAAGCTGCAGGCAGATGCCTCCCAATGTCTTCTAAAGCATCTCGGTACCATTGCAAATAAAGCACAAAATTTGTGTGGAAATGGTTTTTGCACTAAAGGGAAATAATTATCAGAGAAAAAAAAATCATTAATGTGAAAGGCAGAGCATCCTGATTATTCTGCGTTTTTCATGTTCATTTCCTATTTCAATGCTGTGCATAAGTAAGATTTTTCCCTTTATAAATGTTATTAAAATAGGTAAAAGTGTGAAAAGTTGTTTGATACTTGACAAAATCAGTGCTTTCTTAAGAGAGTGATAATAGTGATGAGGAGAATAATTTTGCTGATAGGGTTTGGTGGTGCAGCATCAGGGAATCCCCACAGAGTCATGTTGGAATGGTGTGGGACACAAAAACCATTCCCAAAAGAGGGGAAGCCAGTGGGGGACACCCGACCCTGTCCTGCCAGACAGAGAACAGATCCAGGCCTGTACTGAGCAGAAGGTGAATTTAGTTCTTTGTGTTGAAAGATTGCTGTTTCAGATTTCTGATAGGCAGATGTGCTGTCTGCCAGCTTTTCCCTCTTCTGTGCCTCACTTGCTGAGATCTGACAGGTAAAAACCCCACAGCTCCAGAGCAGGGAGCATCCCAGCCAGTCTGGCTCACACACACCTCTTGGGGGGAAGGAAAAAAATCTCTTAATTCATATTGAATTCATTCACTTCATTCCAAAATTATCTGAGGGGTTGGGTGATAACAGTGTTAAAATGGTTCTGCATTTTCTAGGACAAATCTGTTGCTTTTCAAGGTTTCTTCAAGAGATGCAGGCTGTACATTTCTAATCATCAATAACTATTTTGCTTTTAAACTTTCTTATCACAATACTGACTATAAATGATTTGGAATATGAGGAGACAAGGGAGCAAGCTTGCATACTATGGTAATTTTTTATACTTTACCTTCATCTATTTATGAATTTATTATGAAAAGTATTTTTAAACATGAAATCTGCTTTTGTTGTGAATTTTAGCAAAGTAGTGGATACATTGTACTGTGTATCATTAAAAAGGTTTAATTAAAGTAAACATTTGGCAATTAATACCTTTTGTTGTTATTTTATGCACGTACCTTGCTGTGGTATATGATCAGAAACAAAATCAGTTTTAAGAAATTATGTATCCTATCCTACACTGATGTATGGTCTACTTTTACACAAGATATGACCTAATGTACTCTTAATTAAACAAATGGTGCTGAACTGACTTCCTCTTACCCTCCCAAATGTCCATCACTTCCAGAAATGCATGCACTTTCCATTGTTCCCAGTTAGCAAACTCTCCAGCAGAGCTGTCAGGAAGATGAAGAATGAAATCCGAAATGCTCGCTGTTGGGGAAGTGCAAATAACTTTTCCAGTGCTTGCAATTAAGTGTGAACAATGTAGTTACAACTGTACCTCCCCAAGGGAACGTTTAGATCCTGGATTTTATTGAAGTGCTGTCAATGAAACAAAGCAACACCCCTTTCTTTTTGCTTGGCTCTTTAACTGGAACGTCAGCAGATGGGTATTTGTGATCCACAGGGGCCAAATATTGAATTCCTCGGTTTGCATGGTCTGCTGCTGCAATAGCAGCCTCAGGTAGCTAAAGAGGAGCTGGCAGTGCAATGGCCAGGCTCTGGGGCTGGCTCCTCGAGTGCTGGGGGGAGCTGGATTTGTCACTTAATGCTCTTTAAGGACATGTTTTTACTGCTGAAACATTGTGGCTGTGACTGTACTGGTGAGCTGCAGAGAGTCCCTGTGAGAGGAAAATAATTAACAACAACCTGCTCTTGGGAGGGACAGACCTGGATTTTCTCATGGCTTCTACACATTTATACTGGAGTTCCTAAATCTGTGTGAGGAAAAAACCCAACTTATCCCTTTTAATGGGTTTTTCTAAGTGCATGTGATGAGCACTTAGAAATTATTTCCCATTTCTGGGAACTCTTCCCTGGAATTCTCTAAGAATGTGAAAGAGTTTGGATACAAGGGATCTACACACACTACAACCATTTTTCATTTGCTGTGATGAACTGACCTTTCATTATGTAGCTTGTACCTGCAAAGAAAATAGCTCTATGTTTTATAGTTTAGGTTCAATGAATATTTTTTCTCCACATCTATGGGCAGGAAGTTAGCTGTAAAACCAGCCAAAATAATTTTCCCAGATACAATTCCATAAAACAAGACACCAATCCCAAATCCTATTGAAAATCTGATTCTGAGATTCTTACCTGTACAACAAGTGCTGCTTCTTCAGGAAGAGGTCAATAAATAAACCAATAAATAAATAACTCAATAACCTGCTGGGTGTGAAACTGTAAGGCATGTTTAACATGGTCCCAGATTCCAATACTGGATTCTGAGCTTGGCATACAAAACCAACACAATGAGGAGAACTTTCAGTTGAGACCAGCTGAGTCCCTGGTGGCCTGAATTGGACAAATGGAGCCAATCTTCACACCAAGAAAACCCTCCTGTGCTGTCTGGAATCTTTTGATTGAATCTTTTTGTTTGATTCCCAGAAGTGACCACACAAACACTTTCCTGAAACTTGTAAGTGTGCAGCCTGTTTCTTTCAAGGTTGAACACAGGATATATTTCATCACCCAAAAATTCATCCTTGTCCAGACAAAAGATTTTAATGCAGACTGTGAGATATGCTGTGATACCTGTTAGTACCCATTTCTGTTCAAGTTACAGAGCATACAAGGACACCACTGATTTTCAGAGAAACTCCTGTCATCCCAGCTTCTCCCCTCCACACTGATGGAAAGAGATTTCCACCTCTCTTGGCAACTGCTTTCTGTGTGTAGTGTTATCCAGGTCACTATTTCTAATTTCATTTATTTCCTTCATCTGCTGTTTTTCCAGCATTTTGGCTTTTGGAGGGTCTGCCAGTCACCAAGCTGGAGGTCATCCATGGAGCTGGAGAATCTGGGATACCCTGAGGCTTGGAGAACTCCATTGGGGGCAAGGATTTAGTATTTTACTGGTGATGTGACAGAGAAAAGGGGACTGTCTTCCTTTTATTTCTATAACCACATTTTATGTTAATGTTTCCATGAGGGATGAGATTTAAGAGGTCTGCATACAGTTCCTTCATGAACCTTTTGAAGTGTTTATTCACATTGTAAAGAAAGGAGAAACAAACAGAACATTTTCTGTTCTTCAGCAACTTCCAGCATTTTTATTCCTTGTTTCACTGATTCTGGTAAAGTTAGAGAGTTCTGCAACTTCAGTACTGAAACAATGTGACTTCAAATCATGGTGACCTTACAAAATTACAGTCTTTACTTGGATTTGGCATTCTCAGCAAATACTTGGTATTTTACAGGAAAGTGATAAAGAAACAGGTGGATATCTGTTTGTTGTACCAACAAAAAGGCAAGAACGTGCTGCTATAAATACTTTTCCAGTGAAGAAGCAGGAAATAAACTGTTTAGAGCAGTGTCCTTACACTGGATCCAGACACTGAAAGCTACTTAGGAAACATTACAAGAGATGAATCAACACTCCTGACAGTGGAGAGGGGATTACAGTGCTTTGCAGAGAGGAAACAACAACAAAGTCTGACTTCACAGCAGCTGTGAGCTCTCAGAGCTGCTGTTGGGATAACAAGCAGTCAAGGATTTGGCCAGGAAGTCATTCTGCCAGCCCTGCAAGAACCTGGGAGAAATGAACACCCAGGTTTTTGTTTGCACAATTTCTAATTTGAAAAAAAAAATCCTAAAAAAAGCCCAACCCTAAAAACCTGACTAGTCTCTAACTGATCTTTGTGTGTAAGTTGACTTTGGTTTTAAAACAATTAATTGGGTTATGTTTTCCAATCTTATGTCACAAGTACAACACATACTGTGTTATAACAAATAACACAAATATTTTCAAAGACATTTTTAGGATGAAAATTTTAGAAGTATTTTACAAAAGTAACAAAAAATAAATTACTTTCTTTTTTTAAATGAACAGCTATAAAATCCATGAACCAAACAACATATAACATTGACATGAGATGAAATATATTACACTAAAGGCAGTTAATTACCACAGTGGTATGAGGCTTCAAGTAAATTAGGAGGCACTTTTTGGCCAAGCAGTAGTCACTGATTCAGTGGAAAGTCCCAACTCACAGGAACACCTGAAACAAAACTGCTAAAGCTTCCTAAGATTCTAAATTAAAAAAAAAAAAAAAAAAAAAAGTGCACACAGAAAAGCAAAGAGCAAACAAAAAGGCCACAGAGGGCACCCAGGTCTGCTGCTTCCCTTCCAGGATTATGGAGTTCCAATACAATTAAGGCTTCAACAGCAGAGAGGAGCAATAAAACTCCAGGGACAGGGGAAAACAGACACAAGGAAAGGCAGCAGCAGGTCAGATGAGAGCAAGTCCCAAGTGGAACAGACTGAACTGCACTCTGAAGGGAGCATTCAGCACTAACAGGTGCTGTGCTCTGTAAGCCCATGTGGAATGGACTGAGTGACCCCAGCACCACAATGTGATCTCCTCAACATCCTCAACACCCGAAAGCTAAATCTTCCAGCAAACAAAAGGAGGTACTGTTGTGGAGGGACTGAAGTACCAGCACATGAATAGGCTACTATGAAATATTGCTGTTAAAGTACCTAACAAAGAGGAAGACAATAAAGGGCAACTCAGGCCCGAATCACATATTTAGAAGGGCTATATAAAAAGCATTATTGATATTTAATATACTTAAACACACACATGTACCTACTTGTACTACTTATAAGCATACCTAATACAAGATTGTATTAATTTAGAGGTTAAAAACTTTAGAAAGCAGCAGCTTGTGGCACTCTTGTAAAGCACAGTGTGTTTGGGGGAAGAAAAGCACAGCACTGAGTGGTCCCTGAGAAACCCCGGCACCTCAATGAGGTGCAAAGTTCTCCAGCTGGAAAACCAGGTCCACAGCAGCATCCACATCCGGCACGATGTGATCGGGCTCCACCAAGGCAGGGTCGAAGCTGAAATCCCTGTGCCCGTGGAACACGGTGTGGGTGACGCAGTCCGCGGGCTCCGGGGCCGCCCGGGTGTGCGGGCTGTACACGCCGGTGCACACCAGCACAGAGCTGCAGCGGGCAGCAGCTGCACCGGCCAGCTCCTTCTCCCACCTCAGGCACATCTCGTGGTCCTGGGACAGCGTGGCAGAGCCTCTGCCTGCAGACACCTGGGCCTGGAGGCACGGTGTGGAGCCAGCCCTGCAGCTCTCCTGCAGGTAGCGGTTGTACAGGTTGGCACCGTACACGTCTGTCATCAGATTGTCCCTGCAAACGAGACATTCAGTCAGCACGGCAGCTTCAGCTCTCAAAAGACATCTTTACGGGATCATTTCGCAGTTTATTGTATGATTCACACAACTTTATGTGGAATTGGGCAGACAGCGAGAAATCCAACCCTGCAGCTATTTTATTGCATCATTTTCGTGAAGCATGACACGATAAAAATGAATCACTCCATGTTGCAGACTGGGGTGAGGGGGAGAGAAAATCAAGGTATGAGCAGCCCATGAATGCTGCTTATTATATTTCCAAACATCTTGGAGATTCTGGAACAGTCTTTAATACAATACAGCTTTATCTTCTTCTCTGAAAAGGATTCTATGATGTGGCAGCGTAGGCAATAGCATATGACCAAACTTAAATGACCTCAGAGATAATGTCCAGCTCTACAGTCTCTAAATGTCCTTTCCTCAAAGGCAGTTGCTGTTACACCCCTAAATTTAACAGAATAAACACCCAGGCAAACCCTTTGTGTTAGATTTGCACAGCCTATTACAAAAAAAGAAATCAGGGGAAATCTTAGCTGCATATAAAACACCTTTTATGCCTCTGTAGAAACTACACATAAAGAGAGCAAAGCATCATGAATTTTTAAGATCAGAAACATCATAAAAAATATCATAGCACCAAGAAAGTTAGATGATCTTAATGGCAGGAGAAACAAGCTGGTAAGAGTTGTGTGTTTTTCTTGGCTGGCATTTACACTGTGTATTTGTCAGGCTCAGCACACCTGACCCCACAGCACAGAGGGTGTGGATGGGCTGCTGTACCTGTGGGGCTCAGCACACCTGACCCCACAGCACAGAAGGTGTGGGATGTCCTGCTGTACCTGTGGGGCTCAGCACACCTGACACAGAGGGTGTGGGATGTCCTGCTGTACCTGTCAGACCCAGCACACCTTACCCCACAGCATAGAGGGTGTGGATGGGCTGCTCCCAGCTCCTCTGCAGGGCCTGGGCCCGGATCAGGTGCTCTGCATACTGGTATGTCAGCCTGCTGGGCTTGCCCATCAGCGCCTCGTACTTCAGGTCTTTGCCAGTGATCTTCTTGTAAATGTTCTCCAAACAAACCATGAACGTTCCATGCCCAAACCTACACAGATATAAATCCAAACCATGAACATTCCATGCCCAAACCTACATAGATATAAAACCAAATCAAATTTCATTAAGCACAGATTAAAAACATCAAACAAGGCTTTTTATTTTATGATTTTTTAGGAATAAATCGTGTCCTGCAACTACCAGATTCCCCTCAGCATGCAACATTTCTGCAGCTGGTTGACTGAAAATTAAGTGCTGATTAGCTGAACAGTAGACACCACAATAAACCAACATTACTGGGATGGCACAACAGATTTAGCTAATTTTAAAATTGCTCACTGGAGGTATCCTGGCTGCCTTACTATAGCCTGAAGCTATATATTTTTCCACATATAGTTTTCCAGTGTGCTAATTAGAGATGGCCTTTGCTTCCAAAGAGCAGTATCTGAGCAGATCTTTCACCCAGGACTGAGGCAGGAATCAAGAAACTTGTTACTGGACAAGCTTCTATTCCAAATTACAGACTGAGAGGGGGAAGAGAGGAGAGACAAATCTGTTAAGGAAGTACCTTCTACTGAAAGCAAAATCAAACAAAACCACTTTAAGAGGCCCTGGACCTTGCTCTGTGTGTTCTACTTGTTTTTTCTTGTGTTCCTTAAAGAGCTCACTGCTTTGTCCTCAGCTCAGAGCCACTCACTGCTTTCAAGCAGCAGGGTCAGCTCTTTACCCTACCAGGAAAAGAGAAATACCAAAGAGTGACCTAAGGAAATCAAACAATGGCCTTGATAATTTTTTCATTTTTTGCCTTTGAACCAAGGCTCTGAGGCCCTCAGGAGAAAAACCTCCTTTTCTCCACTCTTCTGGGAGTGAGGAAACAAAAGGGTTTAGAGCTTAAAAGCAGCTTTTCTCTTGAGTAACTCATTTCCTGGATGCAATAATGCAGCCAGCAGCACAGCACCATTAGCTGGAAGTGCATTAGGGATGCTGCATCCAAAGCCAAGCCCTGCTGTGAAGCTCCATCAAGCATTCTGCATTCCAGTGTTGACTCTGAGCCCCGCTGGAACAATGAGGAAGCCTGAAATAAATCCCAATTGGATGAATAAAGCACTTACCTTGGGGACTGTGCCTCAGCCACCCACATCAGGTCCATGTTACAGGCAAGCACAGGAATGTGAGGGTAGTTCTGCTCGTAGGGATTGCCAGGGTAGCCACTGGTCAGCAGAACATCAATGATAAGCTGCAGGCTGGTTTCCCATCTCACTGGCTCCCCAAACAGCACCACAGCTGTGACAACAGAGCAGGCAGGGAGCTGTTAACAGCACTGAACCTCAACACTTGGCCTAAGGAGGCTTAACAAGCAATTTAATACAACCAGGAACTGATCAAACAGTCACATTAATTTAGGAGCTTAATAGATCACATGCCCATCCATTCACAGAAAATCTCAAAAGTAACAAGGCTCCACTGCAAAACCTACAGGTTTAAGAATTTTATTTTACAGGTGAAGTCTCCCCAGAAGTTACAATATTAACTTCTAAAGTGTATTTTTAAGTCTTCCATAACTTCTGAGTTCTCTGTTTACACACAGTATTTAAATACAACACCAGAGATGTTTATTTGTTCATCTTAGAACAAAATTCAGACATTGTTTTTTAAAATTTCTTTGGTCTCTAACAATAATCTGGCATGGATTTTTTTAAATCCTAAGATCCAGTTTCTACTTTCCTGTAGTTCAGATGAGATGAGAGTGAACACAAGACCCTTCTCACACTACAGCTCCATCCTGACCACTTGTAAGAACAACACCAATTATTTCTGATTAATGAACATCAGTTCATTCCTCCTTTATGAAAGGAGGGCAACAAGAGCCTGTTAAAGGCAGAGGAAAAGGAAAGGAGACCTCATATGCCCTTCAAACTTCAAAACCCAGTGGTTGAAAACTGCATGCATTAAAAAAACAGTTTTACAACACATGATGCTTTCAAATTAATGACAGATGTCACTAACAAAGAAATTTCAGGATCGACTCAGATAAATTTCTAAAGTGCCCAACAATCTAAAAATAATTTCAGAAAAGAAAAGAAAAGAAAAGAAAAGAAAAGAAAAGAAAAGAAAAGAAAAGAAAAGAAATAAAATAAAGATATTTCATTTATTAATGGATAGATGCAAGTTAAATAAAGATAACTGACCCTCAATCTTGGGAAGCTCCACAGCAGAGGGGGACTGCAATAAGAAAAAAGTGAGTGTTTTCTACGAGATGAAACATCTATTTTTAGCTGAATAAAATCAAGCACAGCTCCCACAGCTGCCTCCTGCTGCTCTGACAGGAAATGCACTCTGTATTGGTACATACAAACTTGTGTTTCCCCTCTGAAGTGACATCTCTGGCACAGGGACAGCAATGACCTGCACCAGCCTCCTGCTCCTCCTGAGCTGCCTCTGGAGTTTTTTAACTCCAGTTGTTAAAATTACTTGTGTTGTCATTTTAGAAGTTTAAATTACTTGTGTTTGAAAGTACAGATGTTTATTTTTCCAGGAGGACTAAGAGGCCTCCAGTAGTACCAGGACACTTGAAATACAGTTTTTGAGATGTTTTTCATTAACATTTCTAATAAAGAATGCACTGTATAACGTGTAATAGATTTGCTAAAAAATTAAGAGCTTACACTTCATTATTTACTCTCTGTGGTGACAAACACTTGAACAGGTTCTTGACCTTCCCCATCCACCCGGGTTAGGAGCCCAGCAAAAGGTGACACAGCTGAGAAATGAATTCTGTGAGTCACAGAGAATGTCCTGATTACAGCTGGGGGAAACCCTCTCCACAGGCTGCCCTGAACACGGGCAGCACACCCAGCTATTCACTTCTTTAAATTCTGCACAGTCCAACTGGAACCACTGTGCCTACTGCTGACATTTAAATAGTGCTATGAACATCAAAGGCAGTCCTTTGAGCGAAAATTATTTGTCTTCCAAGCATTCACTTACAATCAAAGCAACCTCATGGCTTAGAAACAATACCAACACAATCATAGAATCAGGGAAAAGCTTATGTTATCTTCCACACTTTCTGAAGAAGTTAATCAGCTTTCCCAGAAAGGTTTTGCATTAGCTTTCTGTATTAGATTGTGATTTTTCCTGCAACAATAGGTTACAAAATCAAAGGCTGGGTTAAAGAATTACTGCTGAGAGAAAAGAGTAGTCCTTGAGAATGCTGCAATAAAACAAATAAGGAAGCAGAAAAGCAAAGTCAAAATACAATGTAAGAACAGCAGCTTTAGCTTGGGAGTTAAATATTGACCCCTGTTATAGGATATCATGCAGTGAGCAAACAGAGAGGTTTAAAACAAAAATCTCCACTCACCAGGACATTGGGTCTCCTGTCATGGTCAACTGCATCGAGCAGAGGGCGTTTCTCCCTCAGGGTGTCAATGGTGATGGGCTGGCAGAAACCAAGGCTGGGACACTCCAGCTAAGGACACACAGCTGCTCACAGGAAAAGCTTTCCAAAATGATAACTCCACTTGAACCACTTAAAGGTATTCTATTTACAAATGAATTAGGAATGAAAGTAACATCAAAGACAGACTTTTCCTTCTGTGAGACAAAACGATGATTGTCCCACTGCTGAGAAATGAGAGACCAAAGCTCTTCTATTTTGTTTTCAGTCCTCTCAGCTACTTCTCTCTTAGCTTAGCCTAATGAATTTTGACCATTAACTGGAACATTCCTTCAATACCTTTCTCTCAGTTTTGTACTTTGAATAGAGCTTATGCTTAAAAGTTGCATATACATATTTACAACTTATGATTTACACCGACTTTAATGAAAATCCCACTAAAGGAAGAAGTGCAGAAGGGACTTAATGGAAGCCTGAGCAAAGCTTATGCAGAAGTTAAGGTTATTAAGTCACAGTTTGAAACGTTGATATCACCATGATATCAATATAATTCAAGTTCTTTGGCCACTTAGTATAAAACCACATTCAAAACATAAATTTGACTAGGAACTATCCTATCATTGCTATTTATTACTGCATTTGTAGGATTGAAATTATTTGATTTTCACTTTATCCACAGGACCCCCTGAACCTGATTAAGAAAAACACTTTAACAGAAAGCTGTTGGTTTTTTAAACTCTTTTTTTAAAGATACTCTTGAGCAATATCAAGAAGTGGTCCTTGTCCAGATACCAGAACACATTTTTCATGATAACGCTTGAACATCCGCAGAGGACTGTGTGACATCATCACTTGATCTTGTGAAATCTGTTTGGGATTTAAAAGTAAAAGGAGTCTGTTGTTTTGCAGAGTAGCTGTTTATACATAGATTCAATTAACAGATGTGACAGATTCCAGGAATTAAAAACAATCAGCATTTTTCTCCTTTCACAAATGATGCATTGATAATATGCCAGAAAAAAGTACCTTTCTAATAAATTATCACACATACCCCTTTGAGCTCCCAGCTCCATTCAACATGAACAAACTTTTCTCTCCTAGTTTTATAAAATCACTGAATTAATTTGGAAGCAAACAGGGAAGGAGAATCAGAACTGTTTCCAGTCGTAGCCCCTTTGCTAAACTGCAGCTCTGATTCAATTGTACCAGAAGATCACATGATTTTAGTTTACTTATCCCCACCCCTTTAACAGGGTAGGCAGTAACCAGTAAGATTATTATCCTGGAAAGAAGCTCCTGTGAATCACTACTTTCCACCTTTCCAAAGAAATAACTTCAGCTTTACTATTGGAAAAAGCAGCACTTTTACCAGTGGAAAAGCCATTAGCTTTGGACAGCACTTTTTACTTTCAGCATGTCAGGAGGCTTAAGGGAAAAGCAGACCTGATGAACTGAGCAGCATTTAATGGAAGATAAGACACCTGACACATTCAACATGCAAATGAAATAAAAGGGATTTAGGTGACTCACTGGGACCCCCAGCAGGTGAGACAGCTGGTCAGCTTTGCTCTGCCGCAGGCAGTTCCCTGCGTTGGTGACAAAGACCACGGGCACCAGGAACTGTCCCTGAGCATTGACCAGCTTCTGAAAGGCTCTTCTGGCAGCAGGAATGGGGGTCTTCCCTCGCACCAGCACCCCATCGATGTCAAAGAGAAAGCCAAAGGATGGCAGCACGCTGAGCTGGAAGGAGGGATGGAATCAAAGGGTACATTAGTTATGTCCTTACACACATTTACTAGAGTTTACAGCAGCTACAGCCCCCTGAGAACACACACCTCCAGTGAGAGCAGGGCATCTATAACTGCACATCTTAATGTGCCTTATACACATCTTCATGCTAAATACATGTTGACACAAGGAGCACCACAACTCCCTCTGCCTTATGCATACAGACTCATGAGAGTCTACTTTGTCTTACAAATAGTTCCAGACTATTTCAGAAGATAGGGAAAAATTAACTTAAACTGATGCCAAGAGGTACAAAAAACATACTGCTGTGCCAGTGAGTCACGCTTTAATGGCTTGACCCCCACAGAACACTAACAAAACACACAAAAGTAAATTTTTCAGCAGTAGGCAGGTCTTGGACACAAGTATTGTACTTGGCTCCTGCCTTACAAGGTGTTTATGTAGTAAAACTGTTCTGTTCCCCAGCAGTTTGATTACAGCCAAGTGACTGCTGTGCCCCTATGGCTTCAGCCCTAGCTTCATACACGGCAGACTAACTGGGAAAGTCAGCACCTCCTTACACAAAGGTGCTGCTCGAGTTACTAAAATCCATCTCCTTGCCTGCCTCTGAGGCAGTGAAGAGCTGGAGTTGGTGAGCAAGGAGAGTGAGGAAAGATGAGCTGGGTGATAAGGCCAAGGAGCAGAGACAGAGAGGAGTGCTGAGCAGTGAAACTCTGACTGGATCAGGCTGGAAAAGTACGGAACAAAATCTATCATCTATAGTTCATTTCTCTCCCGAGCCCAAAACAGAAACAGGAACCTTGAGATTTATGATCAGTGATGAAAAGGGAGGGGTTAGGGGCCGAGGCTGAGCGTGATGGGGGAAGAGGCACAGAAAGGACTGAAGCCGTGGAGGTGGGACAGCCTTCGTTGTCTCGGGGCACGCACCCACAGCCGCCGTGTCTCCTGTGCAGGAGGAGAAGAGCACTTTGCCTGCTCAAGCAGCACTTTGTTCCACATCAATTATTCACCCGCCACATTTTTCCTGCAGCCGGGCACAGCACAGGGACAGACACCGCTGGGAATGGGGATGCAGCTCAAACGACAGCGAAAATCCCCTCCCCTACACAGCCCGAGCTAACTGTAAATATATGGCATTACCATTCATTTAAATTAGGCTGGATTTTTGTCTTTACATGCAAGAACTTCCCGTGAAGCCCCCTCCTCTGTAGAATCATCAACCTTTTAATTTAAAGAACAAAACCCCTGAAGTCCTGGTCTCCACATAGCCTGGAGCCGTTTCAGGAAAGCTATGTCAGAAATAACCCAACTGCCGCAGAGATGCTGCTAAAGGCTTGCTAATAGATATACAGCAGTCTTCCAAGACTTTGTGAATGGGTACATGAAACTGCTGAAACTGTATTGGAGTAATTTTGTAGGAGATGCGATTCTTTACGTTAATTTTGCGACATATAAATAGCAGATATATAGATAACAGATTACAAATGGGAATTTCACAGTGAGTAACACTAGCAGAAAGTTTTACAGGGGGAAAAATACTAAGGAAAGAACTGAACATATATATATATGGTAGACAGATAATGATGTTAACAGCTTTGTTTCCCTTTTGACCCTAAAGAAGCTGTTGGTGACAGGAGTGCTGTGCCGCGCTGCACAACCAAAGGGACGGACGGAGCCGGCGGTGCTCGGAACGAGTTTCCCTCGTTGGCTCTGTAAGACCAAGAGCGCACACAGCCCCAGGACACGAGTTCCGGCCGGCAGCGCCCGGGAAATCCGTGCCGGTGTCCGGGGGAAGCGGGGATACCCCCGGGCATCCCCGGTCCGGGCAGGGCGGGTGGCCCGGCCGCGCTCCTCCGCTCCCCGCGCCCGTTTCGCTTTCGCTGCGCCCCGGCCCGCCCGCCCCGGGCCCCGGCCCCGCTCACCGCGCTGTGCCCGCTCCGCTCGGCCAAGGGGCCGCACATCCCCCGGGGCGCCGGCAGCCGCGGCGGGCGGGCGGCGCCGAGCAGGGCGCGGAGCGGCGGCAGCGCCCGGCGCATGGCGAGCGGAGTGCGGGGCCGGCAAACGCCCCGCCCGGCCCGGAGTGAGCTCATGGGGCAGCGTCACACGCGTCACGGGCCAACGTCAGCCCCGGGCCAGCGAGGGAGCGCCCGGCGAGAGCTCCGTGCCCGGCGAGGGCTCCGTGCCCGGCGAACCCCGCAACGCCGCTGCCCCGAGGCTCGGCCCCGCCGGTGCACCGGGGCTGGCAGCAGCGCCAAGAGCAGTCAGTACAACATTCCCACTATTTTTTAATTTAGTACCGGATCAGAAGAAGCACTCTGTCTGGTTCTGTCTGGCCAAGGCATGAAGGGACTGGAGCATCTCTCTCACGAGGAAAGGCTGAGGGAGCTGGGCAAGCCAAGAGCATGGAGCAGGCTCTGCTTGGTGGTGCCAGGCATTTGGACACGAGGAACAGGCAGGAACTGAAGAACTTCTTCCCTGTGCAGTGACAGAGCACTCGAACAGATTGTCCAGAGAGAGTGTGGAGTTGTCTCACTGGAGCTACCCCAGAGGTGTTTGGACAAATCCTGTGCCATGTGCTCTGGGATGGCCCTGCTGGAGCAGATGCCCAGGCTGGTCTCTTCCAGCCTGACCCATTCTGTGATTCATGTTTTTGGGAAAAAGTCTATCATGCACAAACACCACAGTCCCTCAGCTCTGCACCCCTGCAGCTAGACTTGAAAGTGAGACAAGAAGAACAAAATGTCATTAGTTAATGGATACTCTGCAAAGCTGTCTCTGTTTATCTTGCTCATCTGCTAATGCAGATTAGGTAAATCTGCATTAGTGCTGGCAACAAATATTCCTCTCCACCTCCGTGGCTGCGAGGAGAAACTGATCCTTCAGCGACTGCACCGTGCTCACCAGAACAAGGAAGGTGGCCTTCAATCTGCACCACTGACGTGGCTGGCATTAAATGAAACACACAAATGCATTTCTAAGAGACAAAAACAGGCCCAAATGGATGCAGCAGACAGAACAATTAGAGTTTATCCCCTTGGTGCTCAAGGCAGGATCACACACAGGGCAGAACTCTGAAGCAGATATGTAAGAATCCATAAAGTGCTTGTTTTGTAACCTGGATGTGTTCAGGGCTGAGGCATTCCAGAGCTGGCACCACACACACATCCCAGCACAGATGCACACTCAGAGCTGAGGCAGAGCCTGCCCACTGCTCCATTCTCCAGGACAAACACGATCCGTTTCCTGGCTGTGGCCACAGCAGCTTCCCCACCCTGACTCCAGCAATTGCACAGCCTGGCAGGACACAGGCAGTTTGCTACAGGCCACTGTGGTAAATGATTACTCTGCAATTTGTTCCCTCAGATGCAGCCAAGAGCACTCAGCTCAAAAATGCTTCACAGAGCTACAGAGAGAGGATCTGGCCCAGCCAGTTTGCCTTGCAGTTACACACTGCATTTCTGTGCATTTATTCCTCTTCTGTGTTGGCTGGCAGAGATCAGCCCTGTCTGATAAACTTGCCTTTTACATCATGATGTTGGTCATACTCCTTTGAACATGAATGTAATTACAATCCTGTTGGTTTTTTCTCATTCTTTCAATTTATTCTTCTTTTTTATTTCTGTTATCATCACTCCATTCCTGATCTGCCTTTACCCTTATGTCTTCTTTTATCCTATAGCTTCTACAGTGACAAAGGGATCTAGGATTGCTATTACCAAGCTGTATCAGGCTATAAAAATTAGCTGTTTCCCCCACCCCTTAAATCTAGTCTGGTTATCTCCAGCATACAGTTTAGAAAATCTACAACGAATTATTACAAGCCATAAAGACATTATTTGCTGCTTTCTTACAAAGCAGAGAAAGCTGCACTGCTGACAGGAAGAGGGAAGTGATGTGTTTGTGATGTTAGTTCTCCACTTGCTATTTTAAATTGAGGTTTTGATTTATTCTGGAGTTTTTTTTAAGGTTTTAATTTGGCAGCTATGCTTTCCACTTTTTCAATTCTATTTTTTTTTTTTGTTTATTTGATCACTTGCATCAAGTAACCCAAAGCTTTTCTCTATAATTTAGAGCTTTGATTGTTCTGGAGTGGATTATTCACAATACATTGTAACAGATAAATACAGAGAGCATCCAGAAATGCTGAAGGGTCCCAGACTTGGCTGTTAAACACAGAAATACTCCATGGCTGCAGACGTCCAGTTTCAAATGCCATTCAGACCTGTACAACAATATTAGTCATCCAAAAGACTGACCAGGCTCTACCTTGTCTCTTGTCCCAGGATTCACAAGCCAAGAGCAGTAGGGGATGCAGAGCTTCAAATCCCTACAGGGATGGCTGTCTACAATCCCAGTCTTTGGCTACCATTAGGGAATCATCACAATCCTTTGAGCTAGAATAAAACAGACATCAACTTGTAAATAAGTTTTAATAAAAATATTTGAACAAGGTATTGCAAAGCTTTTTACAGTAGCTGCTGGAATATCCAGCATTTAAGCAGTTCATCCAGGCACAGTTACAAACCACAAAAAAAGGGTAACAGGTTTTAAACACTGATCAAATCTCCTCCAAAGTCACAAGATCTGCCTTCAAGCCATCTCTAGACAGGTTCCAGGTTATTCTGGTAAACTAAGCAGGTGTAATAGTGTAAGTTACTTCTCAGCTCAACAAAACCCAGCATGAGAACATGTGCACCCTTACAGTCAGGACACAGCAGACAGGATGGCAGGAACAATTCCAGATTTAGGTGTGGCTCTAGCTGTAAGAGGCCCCACAGCACAGACCCCTTCCCAAACTGAAAGCACTGAAGACAGCTGTTAGATGCAGAGACAAGCTCACCAAGGTTTGACCTTTTCCAGCACTGGAGTACAAGTCATCCTAGAGGAGAAACCAGAATGATGGTTCTCCTGCACACCACACTGGAACTCCTGCAGTTTGCTCCACATCCAGAGGAACTTTCAGAGCTAAAACTCACTGCTACCAGAACTTGGGAACGTGTTGCTTTCAGAGGGATTACACACAACCCAGGACACTGGTGCAGTGTTACAATCCTAGAAGTGTCTTTGCCTCCTCGCTCTGTGCCAGGAGGGTTTCACTGGCGTACTTCTGGAGCAGCTCCATCTTCTTTCTCCGTACAAGAGCTTCCTCGATCTGCAGAGATAAAAATAAGATGGATTCAGCTCAGCTGAGATGCTGAAACCTCAGATGCTCAGCTATACCACAACACTTGCCAATTTATGGAATTGGAAGGTTTTGGAAATTCTCAGGTGAAAAGGGCTGTAAGCATTTGCAAGAAGACTAAACACTGCAGAGTTAAGTCACAGAAATTACAAATTTAGGGCACTTTTACTGATGACCTGATGTAAATTAAGATGTCTTGCAAAAGCCAGTGTGCACCTCTGCAGCTGAGTGCTGTTATGCCTTACCTCCTGTTGAGTTGGCACTGGAACGTGTGCAATAAATTTCTGTTGCCCGTCTTCACCTTCTCTCTCCTTGCTGCCTTCCTCGTCAGACTAAACAGTGAAAAAAATCACATCAAGTTTATTTTCTATAGAGGTCACTAAAAAACCTTTTTCACTTGCTCTGCCAGAAGGAACAAATCACTACAAACACAGAATGAGTGAAGAGGACCCAGCACAAAAGGAACACAAGGATCACATGCAGATCCTGCTCCTTAACATTTTCAGCATTACTGCTTCCATTTTTTATATGGCCTTTGCTCTGCTGTGCCATGGGCATGAATGTAAAGTTGTATTTCCTCCCCTTCCATAACTCTGGGTGCCACAGAAAAGCTGTGAACAGAGGAGGAGCCAGCTAAGCAAGTAGACAGCAAGTGCTTTAAAAATACAGGTACCACTTCCCTGTACAGCTCTGTACTGCTCTGGTCCCACACCTAAGAGCTGGGCTCATGAACCATGGGATAATACAAATAAAACAGGTACTGGAGGAGCCACCAGATCCACCTGATGGATTCCTCCTTTTTATTCTTGTGCTTAATCCACTTAGAAACAGACTGGGAAATGAGAACTTGTTTCCAGTACCCTTCACCAGATCTCACTGGGAGCAGGGAGAAGAAACAAGAACCATTTCACAGCAGTGACAGCAGCAGCAGCAAAGCCCTGCTGCATCATGATACAAGGGTAAACAAGGCCCTGCACCCCTTGGGTTTTCACACAGTGGCAGTGTGACATTATTTTTTGACAAAAACAGTGCCACTTCAATCACAGCAAGGTGTTTCTCACGCCAGTGAAACGTCTGTCCTCACCTGTCAGCCTCCAGTACTCCCTGAACTTGGGCCAAGAGAACTCTCCTGCTACTGATTCTTACTAAGCTGAGTAGTGGGTCAGGTGGGAAGAGGGGCAGGGCAGCAGCAGACAGGTCCTTTGCAGAGTAACAAGAAGGGAGAAGACACATGAAAAGTCACATCACCTGAACCATCCCTTACCTCTTCCTCGTGGACAGCATAGATGTTTTCTTCCTCCTCCTCCTCACCTCTTGCCAGTCGTGCTTCTCTCTCCATCTTCCATTTTTCCACTGCCTCTGCTATAACTGGGGAGCAAAGGAAAATGTCAAGCGTGGCTGAGAGCCAGTCAGAGCAGCATGGTCTTATTGCCAGAGCTTTTCCAATGGACTTAAACTTCTTGCCTAAATCGTCTCCATCAGAAATAAAAGGTGCCTTAACTTCAGAATCCATCATGAGCCCTTCCTGGGCTGCTCTGTGCAGGTCTCACATACCTTTCTTCTCATGTTCCTGCTCCAGGGGCTCCAGAATCCCATCATCTTCATCCCTGTAGCCGTAGTACTCAGCGTCGATGTCCTTCATGAGCTCAGCCCGAGTCTTCCGTGGGGGTGGCAGGGCTGCAAGAACATCACTGTCACCCAACAGGTCACCTCCATCACCTGCTGAGTGTCCCCAGCTTGTCCCCAGCCTCACAGCACCCCGCTGCCTCACGCCAGCCAGCACTCAGCATGATGGAGCTGCTGCCAGCACTGGGAGCACTGGGCTGCACAAACCAGTACGTGACCCAATGCTTC